TAATCAGATAAATAAAAGAACTCTAACACTAATGTATACCGACTCTGAGCTTCAAATTTGGTAGGGTACGAGCTCAACCCTTGGTACTTGCAGTTTAAAAAAAAAAATTATTTACGAAAAATTAAATATAAAAAATAATTTGAAAAAGACTATTGATGTTGGGTATTTGGCAAAATTCGAAATAGCTGTATGGTCAGCTAAAAATTCAATTAGTTGAAAATAATAAAATTTTGCTGTAGTCTTTCACTACTGTTCAAAATACTTCTTTATTAAAATAATAGTTTCTATTAAGAAACATTATTTCTGTCGTCATAATTGAGTTTGAAAATCAAATTTAATAAAGAGAATAGTTTAATAAATGAATCCAAAATCCTAAATCAGTTAGACAACTAAACACTCAATATCAAATAACGTTTCGAAAGGTTTTCCAATATAATCGGGAATCAGCCGATTATATTTCAACCTCTTTCGAAAATATCAAAAAACACACAATATAAAATAACGTTTCAAAAGGTCTTCCAATATAACCAGAGGTCAGATGAGGTTATATAGGTATGGTACTAGCTCTCACTATTTACAAGTTCTTTTAGAAGTTATCAAAACAGGTCTTTTACTCGTACTGAATAGAAATTAGTATCAATTTGAGTAGGCGAATAAAACAACCACATGCAATGTGCGAAGAAATGCTTATCGATAAGCACGAAGAAATTGCACAAACAACTTTTGTTTAAATTTTGGCAAAAAATCAAGATTAGTTTAAGCATTAATAGCAAATGTTAGTTTCTTTTTTGTTGATCTTGTTGATCTCAATCTGCTTACTTTAAGAATTTAAAGAAGAATATCTAAAACTCTTTTAATATAAAAAAAAAATTGACTTCTTTAATGAGCATTACTTGTCCTATTACTCTTCATATACTCGTGTAAGTATAATAGTCTAGGCTCAAACCTCAATAGCGGTTTTAAGTGGTAAGCAAATCAAATTTCAAATCTTAACCACCAACTGATGAACTTGATTTAATCTAGTATGAGTATTGAAATCCATATAACACCAAAACTTAACATGCACCTATGACAAAAGCAAAAGTAAAAGACACGGCTTTGTTGTCAGAAGTAAAACTTCTACCCATTTTCCTCGTCTGTCATTTTAAATTAGAAACAAACACTGCCTATTAATACAAAAATTTATGTTGTTCCATTTTAGCAGTTGTACATTCGAACAGAATCTTTTCAACTTGCACTCAATTTATCTTACAGATACATAGATTGCATTTTCAAGTATTTTATTGTTCACGTCTCCACACTCTGCTATGCTAGAAAGACACTTTTAGACACACTAGACACTGTAGACCGCATCTCTGCTCGGCTAATAAGCCGATTCGTTATGAAAAAGACTGCATTAAGCGGTTTTCATATGGAAAATTATAGCATTGGAAATGAACTAACCGCAAGAGAGTGTTACAGATATGATACTTACTTACTGCAGATACTTACTTGGTAGCATTGGTGGATACAGACAGTCCAAACGATATATGCGAGGCAGCAAAATTTATTGTCGAAAGAAAGCATTTGCGGTTTGCTCGCTAATATCTTTTGCAATAACACAATATATTTTCCGATTGGAAATGTTTATTGTCTACAAAATGCTTGGATTGTTTTCTTTTAATGATCCAAAAGAAAATATCTGCTTTTCATAACCCAGTTTCGAGATTGCAATTGCAATCCGTCGCAGAATTGCAGCAGCGTATCTTTGCAATTATTGGCTGGCTGTGCTTTTGCTTTTGTTATCTAGCGGGTAAAGAGTATCTCGTTTTATCATAAATTCTCTTTGTATCTTTTTGTTTTTTTGCTTCGTATAATTTAAGAGAAAATCTAGCAAAAGTTTCAAAACAGTTTTTATTATTTCCTGCTCGAAAGCTGCAATAAAAAAAGAAATTAAATCGTTTGTGTATCTTTTTGTATACGTGTAGATACTTTTTTCTTTTACACAATTGCTTAATTGTGACATAATTTTTTTAATAAACCATAAAATATTTAATAACATTTGAAATACTTAATTTTATAATTCCTAGTCTAGTTTTCATTTAAACACAAAATAGGTAACTGTGCCAACAATTAAAAAATTGTTTCCAATTCCAGATGATTTCATAAAGCATTTAATTTTAGATAAAAACTAATCAGTTTTATTTAGTTTTATGTACGTTGTCATTTATATCTATATAGTATGAAATATATACATATATATTCATTTTCATATAACACATATTAAACCAGGACTACTCTATGGCAGTATAGCGTTTTGCCAAGCGCCAAGCTCAACTTTAAAAACTCTTCAAAAAGGGCAAAATATTGCCTTAAGAAAACTGGTTAACGCCCCATGGTATGTAAGAGGAGCCGATATCCACAGAGATCTGAGAGTGGATTCAGTTGAAAAATACATTAAAGATCGTGTTCTGAAACTGTTCAATACAATTGACAGTCACAATAATCCAACACTCAGTATCCTAAAAATACAGCGAAATTTAATAAACACAGGCAGATACAAAGACATTAGATCCATCATATTATAAAGCCCCGTAAAGCCCCGTATTTAGTGTGACTTAAAACTGTCCACAGATAAAATAGGGTAAAGGTGCTGATTCACCAACTCAGACATCTGAATATCAATCATAAATTCTATATATATAATTCCTTAGTTAGCCATTACAGACGTGGGTCGACTTGACCGCGTCGAGTTGCCTCCGCCAGCCACCCTGATAAGTGGATTGCTGTCGTTAATTGGATAGTACTGAGCGCTTTTATATTGTTAGTCATCTGTTCCTTCCCCCGAAGATGTGGACATCCTGTACCGCGTTTTCCACCTGCGGGTACCGCATAAAACACCTTTCTAGTCGAAGCACTTTCTTCCATTCGCACGACATGACCAAGCCAGCGAGACTGCTAAATTTCATGCGGCTTTTTTTTTATTTTTTATTCCATGTATATTCCGGACTACCTAGCTTTTACTTTATATATATTACTATATAGACCACTTCATAGAAAGAGTGACGGGCACTGATCCTACATGATAACATATAATACTACTTCCGATTATAAAAACTAACTAGAAGTGAGTTTTATAATTAAATGACGAAATTTCTTTATACCGTAGACTATTTATACTGTGTCTAATATATTCGAGTTAAACTTAGACCATAAGCAATATATGTACTCATAAATATTTATTTTATTTATTTTATTAACAAAGTTATAACATAATTAAAAGAAATTATATCTAACTTAAATTTGCAGAAGCTATAGCTACTTGGCCTTAAGCTTGCTTGTTTTATTAGTTGACTTTTTTTTATATGATGGGTATAACGGGGTTTGTGGATAGGAGAGGGTATAGTATTAAGACTAAATTACCTATATTTTTTTTTTTATGTACCTATATTTCTTACATATATTTCTTTTTTTTTTAAATTTGGGTATATAAGCCCACAGATTGGAGGTACTTGATTGTAAGCAGAATGTTAGATTTAGTAGGGTCACCTAATAAGGTGATTGGGTTTGTGTTACCAAATATGGAGTTGGAATATGGAAATATGGAATACTCATAAATATAACTGAAAACATCTAAGGAAAATGCGCTTTGAAATCTTCTGGGCCATACAAAAAATACAAATAGATGACAGCAGTATAGTCAACAAATAGAAAGATTGCATACACTCTCCTACACATGAAGAACCGAAAAATAATATTCAATCAATCTTAGTAAGATTCCTGATTAAAACTGATGTAATCTATTATCCGAAACGCAACATGTTTGGAGACCGAAACAGAAATCGTCCAAAACTAAGATAAAGTAGGAATAGAGAGCTGCAGAAATATTAGAAGACCGAAAATTGAGATCTTATTAAATGGCGACGAAAACTGCAGCTGTTAAGATCCATACAGGTTGTCGCTTCAATGATGATTATGCATAATCGATAAAAAAAGAACACGTAAAATTAACGAATTTGAATTTTCATTTGTTTCTTAGTTGTATCTATTATCTATTAAATTTACAAGGTTGTAGTTCATTGTACTTTCACACTTTAATTTTATTTACAATACAAAAGATGAGTAGCTCTTCTATTGTTTTATATATTACATGTGTGAAATACTTTCGCTATTTATTCAAAGGTAAAAGTACTTTTTTATTAAAATGCAGTAGATGATTTTCTATTGCAAATATATTTTACAATGTAACAAAATTAATTAGCAGATACAATGGCACAGTAATAAAGTTTTGGAAATCAACCTATGCAAATGCGACGTTCATTGGCGTTCATTACAGTTAGCGAAGATTTATTTTAAAATATAATTCAATCATCTGTATTAATCTGGATTATGTAGTTCACTAAGGTAGTTCATTGAAATGAATTAAACTGTACAATTATGATATGAAATTGTGAGATCTATAGCTCGATCATTCATAAACCCAAAAGTTTTCCATTTTATAGAAAAATTTCAAATGGGGTAGTTTTTAAATATTTACCGGACTCAATTCATATTACACAATACCCTTGTCAAGTTTTCATCAAGCTCACTTTAAGGTCTTCAATCAGTAATCCTTCCAGATACAGTTTTTTTGATCCATAATTTGGTATGTCTTTCATCTTTAGAGTGTAGTAATAAATTCATATTTAAACAATTCACGAAAACACGTAGAAAATACACTCGATTTTGCTTAGATTATTCTAATGCAATGTTAGAAATGTTTTATATTTTGAATACCTTATTTTAGTCAGCGAGATATTTATTTTTCTTCACTTTTCCAGACATTTCATTTAAGTCGGTCGATGAAAAAAATTATTAAAAATATTTTTGATAGTGATATAAACTGATATTTTTTGCATTAATTTTTAAAGAATTTTATATATTATTATTATTTATTGATTTAAAGAAATTCGTACAGCACTTACAAAAAATTATAGAATTTTACTTAAAATCTAAATTGATAATTACATACATATGTACATATTTGTTGTGTATCGGTCTTGACTTTATGTGTCATCCTTGCGCAGGGGCCATGCCAATCTGCTCTTCATCGTTTCAATTTTAGTATATCTGTGTTCTGCCAAAGCAGTAAAGTATTATAAATTATAAATATTATAAATTGAAAAAAAAATTCACACTGAGACACACTGCTACATATATATGCCATAAACTTTCGGAATACCCTACGTAAACTGAATTCCTTATTTTAACTAATTATTCTTTCATTTTTCTTTCCTTTTTAAAAAAAAAAAAGAAAATCTCCAACAAAAAAAAATATGTGCAATTTCCTTTACACTCAAGTTTTATTAAATTAATTAATTTATAAGAATTTTTTTTTATTATTAAATTAAACTTTCGGAATACCCTACGTAAACTGAACTCCTTATTTTTATTAATCATTCTTCATACAATTTTCTTTCCTTTTTTTTAGAAAAAGAAAATCTCTTACAAAAAAATACAATTTCCTTTACACGCAGGTTTTGTTAAATTAATTAATTTATAATAATTTTTTTTTTATTATAAAATTAATAGAAACATAATATGTCATGTAATAAACTATATAGCTATGTATTAGACTAAAAAAAAAATGTGTTATTTCCATTTACTATTAAATGCCTAATGTTGTTGTTGGTGCTTTAATTACTTTTAATTCTGAAAAGCATTTAAAGAGAAAGAATAAAAGCAATAAGGCTTTTAAAGAGTGTTCAACACTTTGACACCATTCGACTCGACCATAAGCAACAACAACAACAGCAACAACAGGAAAAAATTTTAATGCGAAATGGTAACAAGTTTTCATACACAATTATATCACATACATACATATGTATATGTATATGTATATTTATATATACTCAGCACAGCTGATTGCAATAACTTTCATAATAAATGCTGTCACCAACACTTTACCGCTATTTTATAAACTAGCTATCCCCCCGTTTCATAGAAAAATGAAAAGACAAAAACATAAACATTAAAAGAGCATCATAAAAAGAAGTAAAAATAAAAAAACTATTGTTTAGTTCATTGTTTTATGTTCTCAGCTGTTTGTGCTGTAAGAGCAAAGAAAGTTTTTGTTGGTTTAGTTTAGTGTAGTTTTTAGTTAGTTAGTTAAAAATTTTTTTTTTTTTCTAATTGGAGTTTAAAATTCTCTGCTGTATATAATATGGAAATGATCGAACTCATATTAAACAGCCAGAAAGGCAGACAATTAGCCCCACGTTTTACTTGCTCTCACAATTTTTCCGCATACATTTGCTGCTGCTGCTGTTGCTGCTGCTGCTGCTGTTGTTGTGTAGTGGTTGTAGTTGTTGTGTTTAGTTTGCTTGTTGTTTGGTTTGATTTTTGTTTATAGCGCATTCTATAATATCGTTTTAAACCCTCCTTATTGTTTTTAAACTTATACTTTTAGTATTGCTGTTATTGCCATTATTGTTGTTGCTGTTCTTGTTCACGTTGTTGTTATTGTTGGTATTTTAAAAGAGATGTTAAACTTTTTGCGCATATGAAAAGCTTATGAAAAATGTGCGCCCGTATAAGGTCTTTTTTTTTGTATTTGTGTTTGTTGCTGTTTTCTAGTCGTTTTGTTTTTGTGACTATTTTGTGTGTTTGTTGTATTTCTTCACGTTTAAAGCATTGTATTTTGCTTTTTGAGCACAATATGTTTTACGCTCTTTTATAGAAAAGAAAAAGTGTTTTTTTTGTTTTTCTGTGTTTTGGTTTTGTTTGTTTTGTCATTATGTTGTTTTTGCTTGTTTTGTTATTTAAAAATTTTCAATTTCCATCATTTGCAACAGGCGCTGTTGGATTAGTTGTGCCGCTTGGTCGCTGCTGTTAGTTTGATGAGTTCCAAATGCCGCTTAGTAGTTTATTTTGTACGTCAGTCAGTTCGGTTTGGTTAGTTTTTCGTTATCAATTTTCGTTTTTATTGAAATTTTTTTACGAATTTTTTTTGTTATAATTTTAAATGTTGCTAATATTTTGCATTCGATTTTGTTTTTGTTTTTAACGTTTTACCAATTTTAATTTGGCGGTTGCGTCGCGAAATATTTTGTGTTTTCCTAACTGTGTTTCTCAACAAATGAAAATTTTGCAAATTTATTATTTTTTACCAAATAAAGTTTAGAAATGTGCTAAATAAGAAAAAAATTGCATTAAAAATTTTTAAATAAAAATATATACCAATAAAAATGTTAAAATAAAAAAAAAAATTGTAATTTCTGTTGCCAGTTTTAGTTCTTTTTTTTTTTTTAATCACCAGAAAAGTAAAGTATTAATTAAAATAACGAAAAAGAAATTGATTTATTTTTAAGCAGCCAAAAACAAAAAAATTCTAATCAGAAAAGTGTTTACATATTGTCTGTTATATCACTGCAAATTTTTATCAATTAAATTTGTTTTTATTCTAACAGGAATTTATTTTCTTTATTTTTTTAAATTATTTTTTTTATATTATTATTTTGATTTTGTTATTTTCTCGTTTCGTTTTTTTTTTCTTTTTTGTTTTTTATACTTTGTTTTGTTTTTTGTATTTTGTTTTGTTTTTTATATTCTGAGTTGATCAAAGTTGTCACTGCATTTGATTTTTCGCAAATTTTTTTATATTTGCTTATAAAGGGTGTTTCAGTTTACTGTGTCGTAGTGCCATATGTGTGACTGCTTAGTTCAAAAAATGAAAAAACCGTATGCAAGGGGTGTTTAAAAAGTTCTATCTATGTCGATATAAATGATACCAAAGAAAATTCATTAACAAAAAAAATTTTTTTTTGTTGTAAATAAGTATTGATTATAGTCAATAGTATACTCTTTGCACAAATAAAACTAAAAAAATTCTGAGGTGAATGAGTATATAAAAAATTTTTCATTTTAATACTTTAGAAACATAAAGATTCAAGACTAGGAAAGATAGGCCCGTTACTGTCGTTTATTAAAGAAATCGGACTTGGAGAAACACTCTAATCCGACTAATAGGCAGAGTAGATCTTTTAGGTCACAGTACACTATCCCTTATTCCATAATAATAATAATATTTTAGGTCATATATTAAAAATTTATTTTAGTAACTCTATACTATTTAATATATAATATATTTTTGCATTTAAATATTTATCAAAATTCCAATTTTAATGATTTTCTAAAATTTTTCATTTATTTAGAAAACCTCAAATATTTATAGGTTCACCAATTTTAACAATTTTCAACAAACCCTACTTATCCTCAAATATTTATAGATTCCTTATCTTTTTTTTCGTATCTTACAACACTAAGAATTTATTTTAATTAAATTTGAAGAGAATGAAATCTCAAGAAACATGCTGAGAATTTTCTTTCCCGGAAGTCGATACAGTTTGATCTGCAATTAATTCTTAAAATAAGATATCCACTGGTCTTTTCATTAAAAAAGTTTCTTTAATTTCATAGTCTAAATAATTATTTCCAGATAGTATAATGCTTAAATATCAAACACTTTGCTTAAGAGTGATATTTGTTTAACTTTTAAATGGTTTAAAATTAAATTATGTAAGAAATGTGAATGTTTGTGTTCAGCAAAGACATTTCTGCAACATTAGCTTGTTTGATACCTATATCTACACTCCCCAATAAAAGCGATAGAAAAGCCCTCACGCCTCCAAACAGGTACACTATAAGATACATTATTTTTATAGAGTACAATAACTGCAAAAATAATTTACTTACGTATTTAACCGCATCGACAAGCCGTAAAACTTTTTTTTTCATTATTCTTATTGTTATTGTTGTTATTGTTCTTATTGTTTATTGTAAAAGGAATTTTACCGACCTATAGATCTATTGCGCTTCCTTCATTAATTCGTAAAATATTTCCTCAAGTTCGATTTCTTCGATAAATTGGTGTCTTGAAAATACTTTACCAAGTATTACCAGTATTATTTTGTACTGATATCTATAGATCTATTGTGCTGTTTTCATGTATTCAAAATATTTCCTCAAGTTCAATTTCCTTAATAAACTGTAGTATTGAATCTACTTTACCCAGACTTGTTTCTGCCAATATAAGTTTTCCATCTATGTATTTCTTTCATTGGTGCGGCAGTTTTGGGAAAATTTCCAATACAACTTTTAAGGTTTCATTCTCTGCCCTGTCAGAATTTTTATTTTTATTGGCCGGTTGAGTTTTAGGGTTGACTCATAACCAACGGGGTTAGCTTTTCTCACAGTTTAGTGCACTATGCACATATGATTGTAACTATCCAAAGAAGGTCAACAACTTAAAGGCTATGTTTCAATTTAGTGTAGGCACTCAATATCAATATAAATGAATTAAAACAACATGGCAATACCAAATAAGACTGATCTGTACACAATAATCATCTTCTACGTGTATAACAAATCAAATCTGAACAAAGTTTATTGAAGAAAGCAATGAATAAAAATCATTTTTTGTACTGGACACGAAGTTTAACAGAAAAATAGCAGTACTTAAAGTTTATTATAGTAATATGAGATTCTACGACTAACCTATCATAAAAAAAAAATATTTTTTTATTATAAATTGCACATGAAGCAAAAACTGTAAGACTTACGGACTCCTGTGCTCGCCCTTTTTACAATACTCGAACAGTAAAACTAATATATCTAATTTGTAGAGTATTTAATGTCTACTATACTGCATCACAAAAATCTTAACCAAAAAAAATATGAGTTTTATTTATAGTAAGTAGTGTTGTGGATTTAAAGACATGTTCAAAAATATTGAACAGAAGTTAGCTTTGACTTTACGCGAGTTCTGACACCTTTTATATAGACATTTTATGTTATTTTACTGATATGACCTTCCATAATAAATAAAGTCTACATATAAAGTCCAAACACCCGCTGTGATATATCACTTCCTCAACATAATCTAGTTTCAATAATAAAATTTATGGGTCTTATTCAGTCGGTCATGTGCCAATCTGTTTCAATTTCACAGTAGAACATATCCAAGGAGTTAACTATTTGTATAAAGTGATTAAAATAATAACATAATATATGTTTAATTCATTTTTTTTAAAATTCTTATTTAATAAATTTTTGCAGAATTATCTGCCGGGATAATTTATCAAA